CTGACAGATTTCATTTTGCAAATGTACATGACAAATCGTCTTCATACTCTAGGGTTACTTGTGGAGTACCACAGGGTTCAGTGCTTGGACCAATTCTTTTTACTAAATATATGCTCCCAATTGGTAAAATCATTAGACAGCATGGGATAAACTTCCACTGTTATGCTGACGATACTCAGTTATATTTATCCATTAACCCTGATGAACCTAATCGGTTGGGTAGATTACAGGCTTGTCTTGAATAAAAAATTGGATGACTCTAAACTTTTTGCTTTTAAATCAAGACAAGACAGAAGTTCTCATCTTTGGACCAGAAATCCAGAAAAGGAAATTGCTTAGTCAATCACCTGACCTGAATGGCATTATATTAATCTCCGAGAACAAAGTAAGGAACCTTGGTGTTATCTTTGACCAGGACATGTCATTCAAATCCCAGGTTAAACAGGTTTGCAGGATTTCCTTTTTCCACCTTCGGAATATTGCTAAGATCAGAAGCATCCTTTCCAGGAGTGATGCTGAAAAACTAGTTCATGCATTTATTACATCAAGACTGGATTACTGTAATTCATTACTCTCAGGAAGTCCACAGAATGTAGTTAAAAGTCTTCAGCTTGTCCAAAATGCTGCAGCTAGAGTTCTGATGAGAATTAAAAAGAGAGATCATATCTCTCCTGTCTTAGCTTCCCTACATTGGCTACCTGTTAAATTCAGAATAGATTTTAAGATCCTTCTTCTCACATATAAAGCTCTTAATAATCAAGCTCCATCATACATCAGTGATCTGACTGTTCCATACGTTCCTAACCGAGCACTTCGCTCTCAGACTGCAGGTTTACTGGTGGTTTTCAGAATATCTAAAATTAGGAAGGGAGGCAGATCTTTTAGTTTTCAGGCTCCTCTCCTGTGGAACCAGCTCCCAGCTTTAGTCTGTGAGGCAGACACCTTGTCTACTTTTAAGAATAGGCTTAAAACATTTTTATTTGATAGGGCCTATGGTTAAAATCTGATGTTAGCCTAAATCTGGACAAGTGGGGGAGTACAGGGAGGTGGAGTGTACAGTCGGTAAAGACGGCTCTCCCTTGCCCTGCCTCCAACATGCCTCCATCTAAATAGGATAGATTATCCAGAGTTACCTCTGTAGTTATGCTGCTATAGGCTTAGACTGCTGGAGGATACACTGACCACTTTCCACACTCTACTACTTTCTTCTACAATCTGCTCTTTAACTGTATTATTTTCTGCAATTTCAGCTGTTAACTTTATTTCCTCTCTAAGTGTTTTTCTCCCCAGAAGAAGCTACAATGATGTTATGCTGAGCTGTGGTGGCCTCATGGAGGGGGCCATCGTCTAGCACACTGCTGCTAACCACTTAATCATTCTCCCTCTCCTGATAATAACTTTTTGCTTTCCTTGACGTTGGATGTGCTACTACTAGTTTATCCGTTTAATTATAGATCCACTAGGATAAACACAACAAAGTTTATCTCTCACCAAATAGAATATTTACTAAGAAATCACAATATTACTGTCATGGTCTGTGTCTGCGTCTCACCTCATGTGTCTCCTTTTGTCCTCATTCGTCTCTAGGTGCTCCTTTTGTGTCTTCTAGCACCCTCATGTGTCATGTCTGTGTCTTCCTCATGTGTCTCCTCTAGTGGGCCATTCCCATCTGTACCGGGTCGGCCCGGGCCGGGTAGCCCCAGTCGGCCCCAGCCTGGCCCGGTTGATTCCACACATCCTTGTCTTAAGCCCATGTGGGATGATTCTACCCACCAATAAGAGGCTTGCTCTACTGGAAGGTGTGAATTTGCTGTCAGCAGTGGGTGTGTTGGCCCTGGTTGGCCTGAAGCAGACCCCCTCGAGAAGAGGGCTGAGAATGAGCCTGTGTTGGCCCAGAAAAATACCAGGCCACCCAGATATGTAAACAACCTACGCTACCCGGCCCGGGCCGACCCGGTACAGATGGGAATGGCCCATAGGTTTCCCCCCTCAGACTTCCCTCTCCCAGGTCCTGTGCTCTCTTGGCCCCCTCTTAGCCACGCCCCTGTAGTTTCTTTCTGTAGTGTTTTCCTTTAGTGTCAGCTTCCCCTTAGAATATTAGTTATGGTTCATGCCTTCTGGTCTTTTGTTTTTCTCTTAGGTCATTTTCCTTTGTTACAGCCTTTCATTATTTAGTGTTTTTTTTCCCACCAGTGTTTTCTTCCTCCTCCCTGAGTTAGTAATTGTGTTCACCTGGTCCCTCTCCCCACACACCTGCAATTCATCTCCCTCTCATCTTCCCAGTCTATTTAAGCCCTGTCTTGTCACTTTGTGTTTGTTGGTTCATTGTCTTATGTGTTGCGTTGTTTGTTCCCCTCTCGAGTCCCTGCTCATGTGTGAGCTTAGTTAATTTTGAGGGTTTTTTTTTCAAGCTTTTGAGTACTAGTCTTTTTTGTGCGTTGGACTTTTCAGCACATCCACCTTAAATAAAGGAATTGTTTTTCTTAAGACCTCTCCTGCCTTTGAGTCGTTCTGGATACTTCTGCATCCTGGGTCCAACCTCCTCTCCTCAACGTGACAATAACTATAGACACATTACTTTGTGTGTGTGTGTGTGTGTGTGTGTGTGTGTGTGTGTGTGTGTGTGTGTGTGTGTGTGTGTGTGTGTGCCTGTGCCTGCTCTGTCTTCTCGATCCCCAGTGAGTCATGGAGGATGGCTGCTTATACTGAGCCAGGATTCTCTGGAGGTTTCTTCCTGGTAAAAGGGAGTTTTCCTCTCCACTGTCGCTTTATGCTTGCTTAGTATGAGGATTGCTGTAAAGTCACTGACACTAGTCAGTGACTTGATGCAGTTAGCTGAGTTCCTTATATAGGAAACATTATTTCTGATTGGCTTAATGAACTGACCTGAATTGGAATGTTATGTGAAGTGCCTTGAGACGACTCTTGTCGTGATTTGGCGCTATATAAATAAAATTGAATTGAATTGAATTGAGGATCTAGAGTTACATCGAGGGTGGAACTCTACCTAGTTGATGTTGGCCAGCTCCTTCGTCGATCAGGTAGACGGGAAGCAAACAGCTGTGAGTTTGGATGGTCTAGGCGTCACATTTATTCCCTCCCCTACCTTGGTCCTGTCACCAAGCAACTATGAAGACTTTTAACAGGAGCTACAGAGAAGAAAGTTTTTTTTAATCCTGGAGGAGTTACAGCAGCTGTACTTATCATGAGAGGTCTATTAAAATTCATTAACATTTAAAATAATTCATTTTAAATTACTTAAAATATTTTATATGAATGTCTAAAGCCTCAAATCTAAACATATGCAAAGATTTATAGCTGGAATGTTAGTCTGCCATTGTTGTTACAAAAATCTCCCATTCGGCCTGCAATGCATCTTGGGATACGGCGAGCTGTGAAGGGTCCTCCAGACCCGTCGCTGCGTTTGACGTAATCAGCATTCACATCCGGCCAACAAAGGAAGCAACCCCTGGATCTGGAAACACCCCAAGCCTGAATAAATGACGTCTCCGTGGTGCCATGGTTACCGTAAATGGGCCTGTCATTTCAAATCTGCTGCAATTTTGAGAAGACTTTAGACTTTTGGTCACAAAAACACCCAAAAGAAGCTCCAAACAGGATATTTACAGCTGAAATGCACTTAAAGCTTCTTTACTGTCAAATAAACCTGATACCCTGAATGAATATTCTTTTAACAGCCAGCTCTCTCATGAGGATAATGACCATCCTCATGAGTGAGCAGTCCCTGGCAATAAAAAACCCAATGAACGCGGTCAGAAATCGCTTCTGGACCAATGACCATCCCTGCAGAAGGAGCATCCGTGGCATTACTGATACAGGAGGTCACGCAAGTGGTGCAGAACATTATCACACACACATTAAAGCTCCTCCGCATCCGCCGCTGGCGTGTTGTTACGAGCGCAGCCCGTCGTTCCCAATGAAACATTCTAACATGACAAACACTGTTTGTGTGTGAAAGAGCCACATCAAGTCAAAGAGCATCCGTCTTTGGAACAGGATCAGAGAATAGCGCAAACAATTGCTTTTTCATACAGTAACGCACACACTGCTGCTAGCAGTCACACACTTACACACACACATACACGCATGCATACAAATACACACACGGCAGTGATTTGTTTGTTTCCCATGTTTGGAGGCAGAGTTCTGCTTCGCCGTCCCTAATGCCTCCAAAACACATCATTATCTGACTTATGTAGACCTGGGAGTCAGCGTGAGTGTTATTGTGGGAGCGTACGTGCTTGGTGTGTGTGTGTGCGTGTGTGCGTGTGTGTGTGTGTGTGTGTGTGTGTGTGTGTGTGTGTGTGTGTGTGTGTGTGTGTGTGAGCGCTAAGAAAAAAAGCTGTTGATTATCGAGTTCAACAGGCAAAACACTGTTTACCCCGAGAGACACAAAGCAAGTGAGAGAGACAGAGAAAAAGTGGAGACGAGAGAGCCGGGGGGAAGTAGAGGGAGATGATTTAGGAACAGCGAGGTGAAAAATGGGAGTCCTGGAGAGAAGGAGTGAGAGTTGGAGGAGCAGGAGCGATGAAAAGGAACTGGGACGGAAGGGCGGTTAGAGGGAGGGAGCCATCCAGGCTCAGACAATGGTGAGATGACAAGCCAGGCCTGCGGGGTGGAAAGTAATGAAATTCAGTGGTGGATCCTCTAAGCCACGACACAGACAAGCATCACAGTCGCTCTGTTGTTGTGGAGGAGCAACAACTGCAGAAACATGGACTGCAGCTATTTACCAGCTGGAGTGATGGAGCCCAATCGAGCCGAGAAAAAAAAGTCAGAGCGATTTCAGAGTGGAAGGACGAGGAGGGAGGCGAACATCCCATCGGGATCCGTTCTCACCAAGCACCCACCCCGGGGCTGAATTATAAGCTGTTTATGTGCTCAGCTTCCTCCTAATGAAGCACTTTCATTACTTTTAGTCAATGTGGCTCAAGCAAAGTCAAGTCATTCGTTTTCATACATGTCGGTGATTAACCAACCTTGTTTCCCAGGTATGAAGCAGGTGCACTCCAGTAGTAGGCGGAGCCAAGATTATCCACAACCTCCAGGTGTCTGATGCTGAGAGAGGAAGGCGTCTGCCTGTGGATAGGCCACACCCTCCCTCCTGTTTCTCCAACCAGGTGCCATCCAGCCAGAGTGGTCTCCTAAACACACACCATCAGGCCCAAGCAGAAGTCATTTACCCTCACTGCAGACAAACTCGTTCACTATGATTGGTCGGTATAATTTAAGTCATTTTGTGTAAGAGCATTGCCAGGATTGCACAATTTTTGCTATTCTCCTGATTTATTGCAAGTCTGGGTCTCAAAAAAGGGGTCAGCTTTCAATTTGCTGTTTTTATAATGGAATCTCAGCAGCCTCAACGTGTGAGGAGCAGTCAGGGGTTCACTACGGATGTTCAGTGAAAACTTATTGAATTCTGTTATTATGTTAATGCTTGTGGTCCATAAACATATTTATGTCAAATACCAAATTCATTCATTCAAACCTTCAGTTACTTAGCAAATTAAAATTATTTGTATGAAAAAAGACTTTTAACTTTCCTCCTTTCTTTTGTGACTCCCTTTCTTTAGGCACCCATCACTGAGAGGTGAAAGGTGGTCTTAATGCTGTGGCCTTGAGAGTCCATGTGGTTTTGAGCTGAAAGGATTTTAATGAAACTTTAAGAAAATAATCACTAGATGTGGCTCATTTACTGTTTAACATCTGTAGTAGAGGTCCACCAGTATTGGTTTTTCTGTTGCCGATGCCGATATGTACTGCCTATTCTTTTGGACTGATTTTCAGGGCCGACATCTAGACAAAACAGAAACATCTGCATCCATATTTGTGTCAGGATGAAACAAAAACATCTGCATCCATACTTGTGTCAGGATGAAACAAAAACATCTGCATCCATATTTGAGTCAGGATGAAAAAAAAACATCTGCATCCATATTTGAGTCAGGATGAAAAAAAACCCCATCTGCATCCATATTTGAGTCAGGATGAAAAAAAAACCCATCTGCATCCATATTTGAGTCAGGATGAAAAAAAAACATCTGCATCCATATTTGAGTCAGGATGAAAAAAAACATCTGCATCCATATTTGAGTCAGGATGAAACAAAAACATCTGCATCCATATTTGAGTCAGGATGAACAAAAAACATCTGCATCCATATTTGTGTCAGGATGAAACAAAAACATCTGCATCCATATTTGAGTCAGGATGAAAAAAAACATCTGCATCCATATTTGAGTCAGGATGAAAAAAAACCATCTGCATCCATATTTGAGTCAGGATGAACAAAAAACATCTGCATCCATATTTGTGTCAGGATGAAACAAAAACATCTGCATCCATATTTGAGTCAGGATGAACAAAAAACATCTGCATCCATATTTGTGTCAGGATGAAACAAAAACATCTGCATCCATATTTGTGTCAGGATGAAACAAAAACATCTGCATCCATATTTGTGTCAGGATGAAAAAAAACATCTGCATCCATATTTGAGTCAGGATGAAAAAAAAACATCTGCATCCATATTTGAGTCAGGATGAAACAAAAACATCTGCATCCATATTTGTGTCAGGATGAAACAAAAACATCTGCATCCATATTTGAGTCAGGATGAAAAAAAACATCTGCATCCATATTTGAGTCAGGATGAAAAAAAAACATCTGCATCCATATTTGAGTCAGGATGAAAAAAAACCCCATCTGCATCCATATTTGAGTCAGGATGAAAAAAAAACCCATCTGCATCCATATTTGAGTCAGGATGAAAAAAAAACATCTGCATCCATATTTGAGTCAGGATGAAAAAAAACATCTGCATCCATATTTGAGTCAGGATGAAACAAAAACATCTGCATCCATATTTGAGTCAGGATGAACAAAAAACATCTGCATCCATATTTGTGTCAGGATGAAACAAAAACATCTGCATCCATATTTGAGTCAGGATGAAAAAAAACATCTGCATCCATATTTGAGTCAGGATGAAAAAAAACCATCTGCATCCATATTTGAGTCAGGATGAACAAAAAACATCTGCATCCATATTTGTGTCAGGATGAAACAAAAACATCTGCATCCATATTTGAGTCAGGATGAACAAAAAACATCTGCATCCATATTTGTGTCAGGATGAAACAAAAACATCTGCATCCATATTTGAGTCAGGATGAACAAAAAACATCTGCATCCATATTTGTGTCAGGATGAAACAAAAACATCTGCATCCATATTTGTGTCAGGATGAAACAAAAACATCTGCATCCATATTTGTGTCAGGATGAAACAAAAACATCTGCATCCATATTTGAGTCAGGATGAAAAAAAAAATCTGCATCCATATTTGTGTCAGGATGAAACAAAAACATCTGCATCCATATTTGTGTCAGGATGAAACAAAAACATCTGCATCCATATTTGTGTCAGGATGAAACAAAAACATCTGCATCCATATTTGAGTCAGGATGGAAAAAAACATCTGCATCCATATTTGAGTCAGGATGAAAAAAAACCATCTGCATCCATATTTGTGTCGGAATAAAAAAACATCTGCATCCATATTTGTGTCAGGATGAAACAAAAACATCTGCATCCATATTTGAGTCAGGATGAAAAAAAACATCTGCATCCATATTTGAGTCAGGATGAAAAAAAAACATCTGCATCCACATTTGAGTCAGGATGAAAAAAAAACATCTGCATCCATATTTGTGTCGGAATAAAAAAACATCGGCATCCATATTTGAGTCAGGGTGGAAAAAAAACATCTGCATCCATATTTGAGTCAGGATGAAAAAAAACATCTGCATCCATATTTGAGTCAGGGTGGAAAAAAAAACATCTGCATCCATATTTGAGTCAGGATGAAAAAAAAAATCTGCATCCATATTTGTGTCGGAATAAAAAAAAACATCTGCATCCATATTTGAGTCAGGGTGGAAAAAAAACATCTGCATTCATATTTGTGTCAGGATGAAACAAAAACATCTGCATCCATATTTGTGTCAGGATGAAGCAAAAACATCTGCATCCATATTTGAGTCAGGATGAAAAAAAACCCATCTGCATCCATATTTGAGTCAGGATGAAAAAAAACATCTGCATCCATATTTGAGTCAGGATGAAAAAAAAATCTGCATCCACATTTGAGTCAGGATGAAAAAAAACCATCTGCATCCATATTTGAGTCAGGATGAAAAAAAAATCTGCATCCACATTTGAGTCAGGATGAAAAAAAACCATCTGCATCCATATTTGAGTCAGGATGAAAAAAAAACATCTGCATCCATATTTGTGTCGGAATAAAAAAACATCTGCATCCATATTTGAGTCAGGGTGGAAAAAAAACATCTGCATCCATATTTGAGTCAGGATGAAAAAAAACATCTGCATCCATATTTGAGTCAGGGTGGAAAAAAACATCTGCATCCATATTTGAGTCAGGGTGGAAAAAAAACATCTGCATCCATATTTGAGTCAGGATGAAAAAAAACATCTGCATCCATATTTGAGTCAGGGTGGAAAAAAACATATGCATCCATATTTGAGTCAGGATGAAAAAAAACATCTGCATCCATATTTGAGTCAGGGTGGAAAAAAACATCTGCATCCATATTTGAGTCAGGGTGGAAAAAAAACATCTGCATCCATATTTGAGTCAGGATGAAAAAAAAACATCTGCATCCATATTTGAGTCAGGGTGGAAAAAAACATATGCATCCATATTTGAGTCAGGATGAAAAAAAAACATCTGCATCCATATTTGAGTCAGGGTGGAAAAAAACATCTGCATTCATATTTGTGCCAGGATGAAACAAAAACATCTGCATCCATATTTGTGTCAGGATGAAGCAAAAACATCTGCATCCATATTTGAGTCAGGATGAAAAAAAAAACCATCTGCATCCATATTTGAGTCAGGATGAAAAAAAAACCCATCTGCATCCATATTTGTGTCAGGATGAAACAAAAACATCTGCATCCATATTTGTGTCAGGATGAAACAAAAACATCTGCATCCATATTTGAGTCAGGATGAAAAAAAAAACCCATCTTCATCCATATTTGAGTCAGAATGAAAAAAAAAACATCTGCATCCATATTTGTGTCTGAATTAAAAAAACATCTGCATCCATATTTGTGTCTGAATTAAAAAAACATCTGCATCCATATTTGTGTCGGAATAAAAAAACATCTACATCTATATTTGTGTCAGGATGAAACAACATCTGCATCCTGAAAAGCAGCATTTTATCGACATGATCTTTCAAAAAGAAAAACCTGTAAAAATTTTAAGTCCTTTATTGGTTTTTACATCTGTTAGGCAGGAAGACCTGAAACTGACACCTTGAGAGATGTTTTTAAACTCCCGAGTGATGGTTGTGTGTGTGAGTGAGTGTGTGTGAGTGTGTGTGTGTGTGTGTGTGTGTGTGTGTGTGTGTGTGTGTGTGTGTGTGTGTGTGTGTGTGTGTGTGTGTGTGTTTGAAGACAGACACACACGTGTCTTTGCAATTAGCATAACCTTGGCTTCCCCTTTTGAGCATGCGCACGCGCGCACACACACACACACACACACACACATCTGTGTCTGAATCAGAGCTGTCATCCTGTCAGCCTCGCCTCCCCCTCCTCCCCCACCTCACCTGTCAGTTATAAACCGTTTCCCTCTTGCCTCACCCCTCTCCTGCCTCCTGCCTCTCGTCTCTTCTTTCCCTTCTCCTTTCTTGTCCCCTGCTCTCTTCCTTTGCTCTTCTCACCTGCACTCCCATCACTCTCACCTAGACTTAGTAAAGATGGTCTTTTATCTTTAGAATTAGTCACCGATTTATTAACTAAACTCTTTTAACACTTGATCTAAATAAACTTGCAGCTGCTAAAAATTCTACCGAATCCAGTCACAATTACGACATTCTGCCACAAAACTTTACGGTAAAGCAGGCTGACGGGTAACCAACAGGTTAGACTGGAAGTAAACTAGATCTTAGATCTGTTTGTTGCTTAGAAACATTATTTGGTCATAATCACAGCGGGATGCTGTAAAATGATATATGTTTCATATAAATGTAACATCTGTGATCTTTATTATACGAAAGGGCTAAATAACTTATTGTTATTAAAAACAAACAGACAAAACAAGTCTGTTCATTCTTATATTAACAGGCTGTAAGTATGGGACTTGTGGACTTGTCTGAGACTCTGACAGATCTGCGTTTTGACACATAAAGTGGTCACAAAGACTTTTGCTGCCTGTGGAACCATCAAGACCCAAGTCTGCCCTTTTGAAGGCCTGAATCTCTAATCTTCTTTTGTTCTTGGCAAACGGATGTGATCTTCTCAGAATATTGGATGGTTTCCATCTACATTTTTGGCAGCTGCTGTGTCATCTCTGCATGGTTTTGCCAGAGCAGTCAAGGAGTTTTCCATTTTACCTCGTAGTTGTGTGAAGTGTCTGAAAGTGGCTTTATTGCTAAACTTGTCTGTTCCCTCTTTTGTAGCACAGTTCTTCTTTAGAAGGGTTAAATGCAGTAGAGGGTCATCCATAGGGGGCGCCAGAGCGCCAACCTCCCTGATGTAAAAGGAGATTCCATTAATTGTGTGTGCCTACTAGAGATGGGAATTGCGGCATCAACAAGTCATCTCCATGTTTTTGTTCTGCTCAGCTGCTGAACCAGGTTCATTCACTGTGCTGATTTAAATCACCTGGTTTAGTTGCTTAGCTGAAGAAAAACATGGCATGGAGATGACTTGCAATCTGAATTATTTATTCATCATTTTCACCAGCTGTCTTTCATTAAACAGTAAATTTCCTCCTTAAAACTCACTAGTTTCACTCCTGGGGTGCTGGGAAAAGCACCCCGAGCTGCTGCTAAGCAGCCAATCGTGGTTGGTTGCTAGGGGGAAGTGGAGATTTCTTGGCCAATCAGCATCACCTAATGAATATTTCTGGGATAATGACCGACAGCGCCCTCGCTAGGAAAATAGCTAGCTTGCATGCTAGAAGAAGTTGGATCTCATTCCCCTCCTCCCTAATTCTCTCTCTCTCTCTCTCTCTCTCTCTCTCTCTCTCTCTCTCTCTCTCTCTCTCTCTCTCTCTCTCTCCTCTCTCTCTCTCTCTCTCTCTCTCTCTCTCTCTCTCTCTCTCTCTCTCTCTCTCTCTCTCTCTCTCTCTCTCTCTCTCACACACACACACACACTGTTGGTTTATATAGATAAAATATGTAGCTGCTGCAGAAATGTGTTTATTTGGTTACATTTTATGCGATTCTAATCTTTAAAACTGGATATTTCTATGTTGGTGCCGCCTACTGGTGGACCTGAGTATTGCGCTTAAAGGCATTCTTAACTGAGACACACGGACTGTTGGGAGACTGAAAACACAAGAGTTATGATGAGAATTAAAAAGAGAGATCATATCTCTCCTGTCTTAGCTTCCCTACATTGGCTGCCTGCCAGAATAGATTTTAAGATCTTCCTTCTCACATATAAAGCTCTTAAGAATCAATCTCCATCATACATCAGTGATCTGATTGTTCCATACATTCCTAACCGAGCACTTCACTCTCAGACTGCAGGTTTACTGGTGGTTCCCAGAATTTCTAAAAATAGAACGGGAGGCAGATCTTTTAGTTATCAGGCTCCTCTCTCGTGGAACCAACTCCCAGCTTTAGTCCGTGAGGCAGACACCTTGTCTACTTTCAAGACTAGGCTTAAAACATTTTTATTTGATAGGGCCTATGGGTAAAATCTGATGTTAGCCTAAATCTGGACAAGTGGGGGAGTAGAGGGAGGTGGAGTGTACAGTCGGTAAAGACGGCTCTCCCTTGCCCTGCCTCCAACATGCCTCCATCTAAAATGCTAGGTTATCCAGAGTTAGCTCTGTAGTTATGCTGCTATAGGCTTAGACTGCTGGAGGACACACATACCACTTTCCACACTCTACTACTTTCTTCTACAATCTGTTCTATAATTGTATTATTTTCTGCAATTCCAGCTGTTAACTTTATTTTCTCTCTAAGTGTTTTTCTCCCCAGAAGAAGCTACAATGATGTTATGCTGAGCTGCGGTGGCCGCATGGAGGGGGCCATCGTCTTGAACACTGTTGCTAACCATTTAATCATTCTCCCTCTCCTGATAAGAACACTTTACTTTTGTTGATATTCAATGTGCTACTACTAGTTTACCCGTTTAATTATAGATCCACTAGGATAAACACAATAAAGTTTATCTCTCACCAAATAGAATATTTACTAAGAAATCACAATGTAACCATAGAAACACTACTTTGTGTATGTGTGTGTGTGTGTGTGTGTGTGTGTGTGTGTGTGTGTGTGTGTGTGTGTGTGTGTGTGTGTGTGTGTGTGTGTGTGTGTGTGTGTGTGTGTGTGTTCTATCTTCTCCATCCCCAGTGAGTCATGGTGGATGGCTGCTTATACTGAGTCAGGATCCTCTGGAGGTTTCTTCCTGTTAAAAGGGGTTTTCCTCTCCACTGTCGCTAAATGCTTGCTTAGTATGAGGATTGCTGTAGTCACTGACACTAGTCAGTGACTTGATGTAATTTGCTGGGTTCCTTATATAGAATTTTATTTTTCTGATTGGCTAAATGAACTGACCTGTATTGGAATGTTTATTATGTGAAGTGCCTTGAGATGACGCTTGCTGTGATTAGGCGCTTTATAAATAAACTTGAAATGAAAATACCTAATTTCAAAATAAAATGTGAATAAAGACAAAAATGGACCTTATGGTTACTCTAAAAGTTTCACACGGTAAGCTTGTGTATTTATTTGAGGAATATTATTACTGTTGCCTTCTTTATCTTTAAATCAGACTTCATTTTTAAAACTGCTTATTTGCAGAAGGGAAATAATTGTTTGGAATTGGAGCTATTTTCCCAGTGTCCACTTGAAACCTTAAAACCGTGTTTTCACCAGTCGCCACTGGTTAGATTACACGACAATGTTAAAACAGCACAATTAACGGCCAAAGTTAGGAGTTTTGTTCTCTCAAACGTCAACTTTATCATGGTGGTTTAATATTTAACCCTTATACGACCTTAGTGCATTTTTTGTGTGCTCAAAGGACACTAACGTTAGAAAATTAAAGGGTTATATAAGGGTTAAAGTAAAAATTAATTTGTAAAAGTTTAAAGTTTTTCAGACAAGATGGGTCTGACCAAATGTTTACATCAGCCCATGAGCATCTCTTTTCTTTTTCACTTCCAACTTAAACCTTCTGAGCAAGAACAGTTCAAATGTGCATCACATGCACACGCCTCATTGGATGCAGCTATGGTTTTAATTAAATGCAGGTGAGGACTGGCTGTGTGTTACTGATAAAAACTATTAAAGCTCACAGCTTAACTAATAATTTTCCAGTCCATAAAAAGATACAAAGACCTCAGCTAGAGAAGAACGGTGACGTTGCTCACATTGTCGTAGCTCCAGGTGGAGGGCGAGCACTGGCTGGAAACACCCATGCAGAAGCACTTGTCACAGCCGCGTCTGTTGCCGCGCTGCAGGTTGTAGAATCCATGTTTGCAGCGGTCGCAGTTCTCTCCCTCCACGTTTTCCTGCAAGTAAAATAGATGAAAGAAACATAATGAGAAGTGAATGCAGCAAAGTTTATGAGCTGTCCTCAAGCAGGAGCAGAAAGCATGTTATTGAAGTGTTAATGTGGTGAAAATAATGATGACAGGGAGAGAAAGGTTAATGCAAAGTACTTGTCATTAAGTGTGAGCACACGAGCGTGTGTGTGTGTTAGTACCTTGCACACGCAGGGAGTTATGCACGGGTCAGTGTTGGTGCTTCCTTCCACGCTGCATTCGCACCGCTGGCAGGATGGGAAGTCCTTGTAACCAACAGCACATCTGTAGACGATGGGATCAACACAAGTTCACGTAGCAAAAAATGTGAGCTATGCTATCCTCGCCAATGTTCCTACTACTGTACTGTATATATGATGTATTTATGATTTACCCCTCAGTATTTATTATCACTGCTCACTTCAATGATGCCATTGGACCACTTTTTATTATCACTGGACCACTTTCCAAATGTCAGAGAACCCCAAAGTGGCAAATACCTCGGGTCCGCAGTGACCAGAATCTCATATTTGTGTCTTACTGATGTTTTATTTTTTAATTTGAATTTTTTTTTTACTTCCTTGTCAATGAACTCTTTGTTAATGTCACTGGACTTTTATGTGACAACCATCTCGGGACTACAGATGGAAATTAGCCCTAGGCTACAATCTGGCGTGTTTACATTCATGCTATCCCTACATGTACGTTCATTAACATGCACTGTCCCAAATAAAATATTCATTCATTCATTCATTGTCCATTTTCATAATTGCTGCTGCTGTTTTTACTTTGCTCAAACTGAGTTGGTCAGGCTGCGTCTTGGCCTGATGTTCTACGAAGATAACACGATCCTGGACAGGAAGTCACGCAGTAACTTCTAAATATAAGTCAGATGATGTCCCCTTCACGCAGGCCGAAGACTAGACCTCCGACGGCCTTAAGATGGTATTAGAAATACACCTGAAGCATCAACAAACGTTTTCACGGCAGTTTAATCAATCAATCAAACTTTATTTATATACTGTAGCACTTAATCATGCAACACATGTAACTCAAAGTGTTTAACAAATTAAAAAGGCCACGCATACCCACATTCCATCTCATCCCCAGAATTTTAAAAACAGTCTGACAATAAAAACCCTTTCACAACACTCATCCTCTGGCATGCACACATGCCCCTCCCCCCCAATGGAAAAAACCATGATGGGCTGAGATCAGAAGAGCCAAATCAGCTAAGATAAGGAAAGGCCATCAGGGGAGCCATCCGCCCCGACAGCAGCAGATCTACAGCAGCAGCCGAGGCACTGACACAGGGCGCCCAGGGCAGGGAGGGTGGAGGCCCCCACCTCCACCCAGGCACACCTGGAAAGCACCCAGGCCGCCACAGCCGACCACCGCCCCCCGGGGCAGAGGACTCCCACAGAGGAAACACTGGAAAAAGGTTAAATTAAGGTTAAAATATAAGATCGCCAGAGCTAAAATGAGAATTGTAATATAAAAAGTTATACAGAATAATGTTGATCATAAATCTATGGTAAAAAACTCAGTTTAAAAATAGCAAGTATAAAGAAAGAATACATAAAAGAAATAAATAAATATATATATATATATATATAAATAACCTAATTAATTAATTAATTTAAAATGCGATAGTAATCAGTTTAACATTCTGGTGACAATTTTTCAGGTGCCTGGGACCTTCAGCTCTCGCTGAGGAGATTCTGCACTGATTGTGAAGTAGCTAGGATGAGGATCAGCACCTCCAGGTCTGAAAAGGGTGGATTGCCATCTCTGGGTTGGAGCAAGGGTCCAACGACAAATAGAGGTCGAACATGCAGTCTTGTTCATGAATGAGGGAAAGAGGATGCCAACTGAGATAGTTTAGTTCAGTGGTTCCTAACCTAGTCTGGGACCACCTCAGGGGAGTTGGGGTTGGGGGTCCTGGCTTCTCAATAACACTGGCAAAGGGGTCCTCAAGGAGGAAAGGTTAGGAACCACTGGTTTAGGCGTTTGGTCAACCCAGGTCATGATGGAGGAAAAATAGCTCCAGGGTGGGACTTCTTTGGGTCTCACTGGTGGAGGCTACTACTGGGGCTGGTTCCCTCACAACCCAGACCCGAATAAGCAGACAACAAAGGATGGACAGACAAGTTTGGTCTTTGTGGTCCACGGATATGGAGCAGGTGGTAGGGTCACCTATCACTCAGTTATGAGTCATGGAGGCTGTGGAGACCATAGAGCCATGTATGTCCAACGTAAGAGTGAGACTGATTTCAACAGAAAAACCTCCATAATTAAGTATTTTTGAAATTAATATTCATGAATATGGTAAATTAATTTAGTAGGAATTAAATCATACAAGGAATTTCTGAAGTTCCATCTAACTCACAGAACGTTTTAAGGTCCAGGCTCCTTCCCTTTCATGCTCCCTGATGGTAACAGACTCACGTTTGGAAACGGTAACACAGTTTTTAAACAATCTGGATCTATTTGCATTTGAAGATGCACATCTGCACAAAGCCTGTTTCACATCTGTACGGTGGTCAGCGTTTTATATTTTGTGTCGACTGATAAGATCATTTGAGTTCCTAATGGAACCTTTTTTGCAGATTCAGAATCCTAATTTGAACGGACATGAGCTGAAAGGTTCTGCTCACCTGTCACTATATGTCTGCTTCTTTCTTTGTGTGTGTGTGTGTGTGTGTGTGTGTGTGTGTGTGTGTGTGTGTGTGTGTGTGTGTGTGTGTGTGTGTGTGTGTCTGCCAGTCGCTCACCTGTCACATCGCAAGCCCCCAAAACCTTCTTTGCACCAGCATGACCCCGCTGGCTGACCTGCCAATCAAACACACACAGACATAGAAGGTTCAAAAACTAACGTGGGAACAAAAAATCTTTGAGGAAGTTGCAACCGAAATAACTTCAATTACATAAAACTAATGTACAGAGGTGTAAAATTATCTTAACACAGAGAGACATTTCATCAGCAGAAGCTCCGGCGTTTGTTACAGAGCTTCAATAAAACAAATCCCTGAGGAAATCAAGGTGGCCGAGCGAGACATTAAAAGTCTCTTAAAAGAGAATTAAAGCACAACAAGGAGCTGAAATTATTTATAATACGACACAAAGTTAGAAAGAACAAATGTGGAGGAAGTTATTTGTGTACTGGAAGTGGCTTGGCTCGGATCTGCGACGCATGATTGGCTGACAGAACCCTGTGGGTCACACGAGCATGAGATGCAGGGATGGTCCTCATCTGCACTCACCTGGACAGGTGAAGAAGAGAAACAGTTGTTTAACTAGAGCGTTACTGGTGAGCTGATGGTGTGTGCTGGTCAGACATACCTCTGGGGGTCTATAGTAACCAGGAATGCAGCTCTGGCAGTTGACTCCAGCTGTGTTGCCACGGCAGCCGATACAGACTCCGCCCCCCCTGTACTTACCATGGATGTCCAGACTGAGCGACAAATCAGCGACTGTCTGGTTAAAGTAGCACTCCTCTGCCTTATTGTGGCAGTTACACTCTGAAAACAGAGATTAAAAGCTGATTAAATTATTCATTCGGTTTATTCACTCAACCCAGCGGCTAACTTATGGGATCTGTTTGTTGTGTATGGGGTTAGGGTTAGCCTTTCAGAAAAAGGTTCCTGGTTTATATTTTGACTGTGGAGGGTGTGTTATCGCGGCAGTCCAAGAGCAACAACAGACACGTTTTCCTGTTCGCTCTGCACGGCCTCAACTCTGGAATGAGTCAACTTTTCTCCAGTTAGATAAAAGGAGTTGGAATTCCAATGAAAACTTTAACTCAAGGATGTATTTTCGACTTTAGGTCAAAGGAATCCCAGCTGGGCTAAATGTCTGAGCCTTCAGATTAAAACTCTTACAGAGAGTTTGTTAAAAGTTTGGAGTAACAGAATCGTGGTTGTTGACCTTCTCAGAGACAACAAAGACTTTCCAACTCACTGTCAAAAATCCACATTATTATGTGGTACTACAGAGGAGAAAACTTAGTTTCCTTTATTAGACACAACTGCACAGACGGCTAATCAGCCAATTAGATGGCAGCAACTGGATGCATTTGGGTATGCAGGCGTAGAGGAGGTCAGCTGGTGAAGGGGACACCAACCATCAGAATGAAAAAGAATGAGAATATAAAGTACTTATAGTATAAATGTACCGTGACCCTTGGTACCAGTCTGAGTTTGTCACCCACAACTATCTCTGGGTTTACAGTGAACAGTCCAATAAGAGACGAATATCTCCAGAACTGAGTCCAACCCAACGGCATTCTTCAGGTGCATTTCTCCTTATGGGTATGCCAACGTCACCAATGCTGGCCCCAGTACTGCTCCGGTCCTAAGTACGCATCATGGAGAGTTCGCTCAAAGTTAAACAAGTCAATAAATATCTTAATATTTATTGAACTTAAAATAGAAAACAAAATCAAAATGGGGTGCTGGGATCCTTCGGGTCCTTTCTTCAGTCTAGTACAGGGTATCTGCAGGTTTAAGGGAGTCAAATTTAAGACTTTTTAAGACCTTTTTAAGGCCTCTTTGACCAAATTTAAGCTACTTTTGAAATTAAATTTAAGCTATTATTTCTAGCTATTGCCTGGAACCGCGTAAAAGTGGGATTAACCATCCAGTTACCATCAAACTTGCACTTCCTCATGGCGCAAGCTCCCACTAGCTTAACCAATTAATGTGCTCATCTAAAAATAGTCCCCTGTCACAACCAACTGAATGTGTATGGTTCTGCTTACGCCAACACCATACACAAAAAATGCTGAATACTTACTAGAAATTCACAAAATTTAATAGAAACAAAACGATTTTGTTTATTGGGTCTTTGGTAATCTAAGACCTTTGGAAACTGTATTTAAGTATTATTTGTCATTTTTAAGGATTTTTAAGGCCTTAAATTTGGAAAAGCAAATTTAAGACGTTTTAAGACTTTTTAAGGACCCGCGGATACCCTGTAGTAGTGGCTGCAAGTGGCCACACAGGTGCCTGATTACTTTTTTTATATATATTTTTACGGCTTTTAAAAATAATTTTGGCCGATGACCGATATAGAAAAAAATCAATTTATCGGTCGGCCTCTACTTTACAATATCCACAAAATGCTAATTAGCCAACCCACTATCAGAATAAAAGCAGCGTTACTTGAAATAGCTCAGTTTTCATAATAAATTTACTTTTTTCTTACCATACCATACCAAGTTTATTTGTATAGCACATTTAAACACGACATGAGAGCCGACTAAAGTGCTGAACAAAAATACATAATAAATACAATCAAAAATAAAAACTAAATCCATTAAAATTGAGTAATTCAAATAGAAAAGAAAAGGAAAAAGAGAATATGTTAGACTGAATTAAAAGCCAGAGAATAAAAGTGAGTTTTTAAAGGAGAATTAAAAAGGGAAAGAGAGGAAGAGAGTCTGATCGGGAGGGGCAAATGGTTCCAGAGCTTCGGTGCACAAACTGAAAAGGCGCGCTCCCCGCAGGATTTACAGCGGGAGCTAGGGACATGAGGAAGGTGCTGGTCAGCTGATCGAAGAGATCGCGTAGGGACATAAGGGTGAATGAGCTCAGACAAGTAGCCAGGTGCTAAGTTATTGAGGGATTTGAACACAAAAACCAGAATCTTAAACTCTATTCGGAGATAGATGGGAAGCCAATGGAGATTTCTTCAGTGGGATATTCTGCTATTTTATCTATGTGTGATCCAAAGTGGACCAAATGAAAAAATAAAATGTAATTATTGTTATTTTGTTAGTTAAAGGACAAACAAGACTTTAATTTTTATTTCAGGTAATTTTTTTAACCATAGCGTAAAGCAGCGCATGTTGCCATGACGTAACATACGGTTCTGTTCCAAACACCGTCCTTGTCCTCCCGTACTCGGTGGAACAGACTTTCTGCTCTACTGGCCACGATCGTACTTGTCAAGTACACAAGAACGTACTAGGGTACTTGGATATTGAAAAAAGGCTCTGGTTCTTTAACTGAGATCACATTAGTGATGCTGTGTCAGTGTCACAGAATCGACATCGCTTCTCAAACGCCACCCCCACCCCCCCACCCCCACCCCCCACCCCCACCCCCCCACTGGGTCTGAGTGGAACTAAATGAAGATTACACTGTAAACTTGGTTTTATGACCACATCCTCTAGCCTCGACTTCACTGCTACAGAGGTTACCAAATGCAAAAGGGGGATTTTTGATACTTTAACACAGCCAAGCCTGACTCCAGATGGCTGGAAAGAACTTCCACTTCCTCACTGCGCAATTTTATTAAGTACATTGAACTTAATTGTAGATTTGCTGCAGCAAAGTAATCAAAAAACATGAAGGTTACCGCACCACATTGGTTGTGTGATCACAACTACAGCAGCATAAAACCTCCAAATCAGAAGAACTGCAGAACGTTTTTTTTTATTACAGTGTAATATTTTCCTTACTCTCGCAGACGTGTCGAGTGAGGAAGGTTCCTGCCATCCATGGCTGCTGGTGGTAACCTGGGCAACAGTGGTCACAGCTCTCGCCACACGTGTTGTGTTCACATTCACAGCTGAACTTCTACAGAGAAGAAAACAAAGGACAGTGGTGTTCTATATGGATCAGTAGTTGAGCTTAACGTTTTTAACACCATGTATCTTCACTTTTGCGTGGATGACAGGCCAGACCATAGAAAAATATTTTGTTTAGTGGGAAACCAAGCTACGTGTGTGCAGGGCCTTCGTGCAGTAGAAGAAATGTAACCATCACCACCTAAAGCATGTTGTACTTTTACATTTTTATGCAGACAACACTAAAATCTGCCTGTGAATAAAACCTGTAGATTTCTGGAGCCTTGTTAATGTCACAGTTCGTCGTTTTGAGCATAATGGCTGTTTCCAAGTTTCGGTCCACCACCACCACCCTCACCCATGGTGTCCCACAAGGTTCTGTGCTGGGGCCTCTACTCTTCCTCCTCTATCTGCTTCCTCTTCAGCACATCCGGAGCTCCTTCAAAGGAATCTCCTACCATCTTTATGCAGATGACATCCAACTGTGCATCTCTTTTAAGCCCCATGAGATGTCTAAGCTGCAGCTGTTACACACCTGCTTAGAATCTATTAAAACCTGGATGGCTGGGAGCTTTCTTCAGCTGAATGAAAATAAGACTGAGATCCTCATCTGTGCCCCAGACAAGCTGGTTCCCAAAGTCAGAGACTCTCTTGGTCAGCTTGCTTCTCACACCAAACCCTCTGTCAGGAATCTTGGTGTGACCTTTGACCCTGCTCCCACCCTGGATTCTCATGTCAGTTCTCTTGTTTGCTCTTCCTTCTTCCATCTCAGGAACATTGCTAAGCTGAGTCCCATTCTGTCCCGCTCTGAACTTGAGACTGTTCTCCACACCTTCATCTTCTCACGCTTAGACTACTGTAACTCTCTTTTCACGTGTCTGAGCAGAACCTCCCTGAACCGTCTACAGGTGGTTCAGAATGCCTGTGCTCGGCTTCTGACCAAGTCCTCCAAACACACCCACATCACCCCGCTTCTGCTCCAGCTTCATTGGCTGCCAGTCAACTTCAGGGTTCATTTCAAGATCCTGGTTCTGGTCTATAGGGCCTTACATAGACAAGCACCATCTTACATTGGTGATCTTCTTAGTCCCTACACCCCCAGCAGGTCCCTGAGGTCCAGTGGCCAAAGCCTATAGGTTGTGCAGCACCAGGCTAAAGACCAAAGGTGACAGATCATCTGCTGCCGTGGCCCCCAGACTCTGGACTTCTCTCCCCCTGTGCCTGAGATCAGTGGACTCAGTGGTCTCCTTTAAACTCACCTGAACAGTCTTTAGTGGGACATTCATCACCTCCCTCTCCTTGCTCTGCTCTAATCCCGCCTTTCCCGGGATTCACCGATTTCCCTCTTTCCTATTCATTTTTTTTCTCCCTTTCTTTACATTTTTTTAATCTCATAGAAAAATAGAATTCTTTTTCAAATTTCTCATTTTAATGATATTTTTTATGTATTTTTTTGTTCTTGCCTCGTGATTTTTATAAGAAGTGCTATTTAAAAGACTGTTTTTTCTTCTAATTCCTAAACTTTGTGAAATTTTAGAAAATGACTACGGCAAAGGTCATCCTGCCTGACTGCTGCAATTCGAGTGAACCACAAAAGACAAAAACCACAACACCTGAGTTTTCCTTTTAACACTGGCACCTTCGATTTTGCGGTAAAGACAAAACCTCGAGGGCCGCCGAGAGCTACAGAAATAAACCTGCTAATTATTCCCAGGTCACAGTTTATGGCTAAAGAAAGATAACCAGTTTTTCTAGCTAATCAGAAAACACCAAAACCATAAAAGGAGAGAAACAAGTAAAAAACAAAATTTATCGAATCAGAATTGAAAAGCAACATATTGGGTTATGTGGTCAGAGTGTTTGATGTAGCTGAGGGCGTAAGACAAAACCAGAGCCAAGTCTGGACTTGTTGGCCCCGCCGAATGTTCCTCTTTCATCCGAGTCACAGATAGAATCTCCTCGGAGCTGCGATTGTGCCGATCGTGCATCAGAGTAAACGTTCAGCTGACATTCATCAACAAAATCATTGCACAGGTCTCCATCTTTCCTTATGCAGCTGCCCAAAACTTTAGTGGAAGCAAAAGGGGAGTTGTTAGACAACTAAAATGCAACACAGCTAAACATTCTGGCTTGTCTGACTGTTTGGCGACTACATAATTCGCTATAACAACCAACAGATGTAATAAATAGGCACATGGCTGCATCGGTCTGCCGTTTTTAGGATTTCTTCCAGCCAGTTTAAACACCTGTAGAAAATAACATTTCAGGTTGACAACAGGACAGAAAAAAGAAACTGGAGCTCTTTACACACCGCCGACATCACTTTTTGTCACTGACATCATCTCCGAGGGACCAGACACCGGTGTCACATCTGAGATACGCAACGCATGTAAGCCTCAGGACATCTAAAAATGTGTGTGTGTGTGTGTGTGTGTGTGTGTGTGTGTGTGTGTGTGTGTGTGTGTGCATGTGTGTGTGTGTGTGTGTGTGTGTGTGTGTGTGTGTGTGTGTGCATGTGTGTGTGTGTGTGTGTGTGTGTGTGTGTGTGTGTGTGTGTGTGCGTGTGTGCGTGTGTGTGTGTGTGTGTGTGTGTGTGTGTGTGTGTGTGTGTGTGTGCGCGTGCGTGCGTGCATGTGTGTGTGTGTGTGTGTGGTCAGGGATAAAAGAGGGAAAGATCAGATGTCTGGTATCAAACACACCTGTGTTTGAAGTGATACGTGAGACAACCTTTCGTTGTGTCACCTGTGTCCCTGAAGGAATCACACACGCTCGGAAAGTTTGATATGAAATTACAGATAAAAAGCCGAGGCCCCGGGCTGCTCTTTGCTCTGGTTCAGTCCTACGAGGGAGCTTTGTTACCTCAGCAGTATTCTTAGATGTACTTAGAAACGGCAAAGCGTTTTTACCTTTGTGGCGGCGCTGAGCGGGCAAGCTTTGGCGTGGCCGTAACAAATACACATCCCTCCGACTGAGATGTCCTTAATGGAGTAGTAATACTGACAGGACGAGAAGAGAGGAGCCCGGATGAGAATGAAACAACGACTAGACGTGGAGAAACACTAGGTGGACTGAAGGAGTTTTAAAGAATGAAACATAGTCAATCATTTTGCTTTGAGCCTCACCCGTCTTGTCACGATGGGATCGATATCTGTGGAGTCGCTGAACGTCAGGGTCATGAGGTCGGCGTTCAGCGTTCTTATTCGCTGGAACACCAGCCTGATGTAGCGGGCAGAAGTAAAGTTCAACAAGGTTGGGGATGGGTCTTCAGCACTGGGTCGACCATTGATCAGCGATGTGTGGATCTGTGAATGAAGACACAGTTAAACAGAGACAACAGCCAAACCAACAAACATGGCTACATTTGTAGTGAAAGGTCAGTAGCAGAGGGTTTATAGGGTTTTGTTTCCAAAAGTTGGGGTTTACTCGTTTATTCAACGCATTTGCAGTGTTTTCTAGTGTATGCCTTATGAGTCATTTAAAAGAAGCTATGATGCTCCTGTTCTGAGATGCAGAAAGTGTGTTTGAAATGTGTTTAGGCACTCTGCAAAGTCACTGATTGCAGTTACAAGCACACTGACCAGCATCTGAGTCGACCTTGGTCGATCTTATTGTAATAGGCTGGGAGTCTTTATCCTAGTTTACATGCACATTAGAAAACCGGTATCTCAAATGAAGTTTGTGCCACTCCGGCACAGTAGGGGGCAACATGCCCTTTTCAAGTTGGCATTTTTCCAGTTAGCTTATAGCAACACAAGCAGTAAACAGAGGCTATGAACAACGGCTGAAGAAAACAACAACGTTGCAGCACAGCTTATTAGGTATGTACTGTCCTGTTTTATGGTGTTATGTGTGTTGCTTTGTGACGACGGCCTTGTCAGAAGACCGCTTCAGCGATGATCGTCATTTCCTACTGGTTTAGTTCTGCTGACGCGTTTACACCCAAGATTTCCATGTTCCGCCTGCATGAAAATCTCAGAGTGACCGATTATAATCAGAAATAATCATAAAAAACAGTTTTTTTCAGTTCACCTCATCTTTAAAACTCTTGACTTAAATTAACTTAAAGGAGCAATATGGAACAATTTGATAAAAAGTGATATTTTCTAAAAATAATACCTCTAGCGAACCTGGTATCCTGATGGCTGGAAACCTTGCTCTATGTTGCAGCTACAACCTCCACACACTAGATGTTGCTTTGGTGTTCGTGTTCCATTTTCCACCTTTAAAGGTGCAACATGTAAGAAGAAAGATTGACATCCTGTGGTAAAACGTGGTTACTGCACCCTATTTCAGTGACTTTCTCAAAGACGTTCCGTGAGCTTCATGATTGTTGGCAGGTACGGATCAGCACCAGAAGATTCTAGATGACAAGCAAAGATGAGTCATGCGCAGTATGTTGATAAGTAGATAAAAACATTGTAAAATCTGGCGTTAGTAGTCTTGGGTGTTTTGTAGTGGGGCACTTACTACACTTATTACGGTAGTTTGTCTTCAGTTTTAGAGGAAGAGATGTTGTTTCCCATCTTGCTGTTATAGTTCCGAATGACTCATTAAAGCAAGTAAAACTCATTATTTACTTCACACGTACACTTCACTGTAATATCCAGTTGTTGGTAATTGAAAAAGTAGCTTGCGATATTATCAGAGCTGACTATTTGCTTCAAATTCCCATTAGCATCAACGTTAGCCTCTAGCCTGCTTCACACCATATTAAAACAAAAAGACACTGTGTGAACGTCAACTCACTGGTGGGGAAGGAGCAGGAGCTTGTGGCAGAGGTTGAGCGGTACCGGCTAGATATAGTCGGACTCACCTCGACACATAGCATTGGCTCTGGAACCCAAGTCCTTGAGAGGGGTTGGACACTCTCCTTTGCTGGAGTTGCTCTGGGTGAGAGGTGGAGGGCTGGGGTTGGCTTTTTGTTAGCCCCAAGACTCTCTGCCTGTGTGTTGGGGTTTACCCCGCAGGACGAGAGGGTAGCTTCCCTGCGCCTTCGGGTCGGGAAATGGGTCCTGACTGTTGTTTCTGCTTATGGGCCAAATATCAGTTCAGAGTACCCACCCTTTTTGGAGTCCCTGGGATGAGTGCTAGATAGTTCTTCTTCAGGGGACTCCATTGTCCTGCTGGGGGACTTCAATGCTCACGTGGGCAATGACAGCTTGACCTGGAGGGGTGTGATTGGGACGAACGGCCCGCCTGATCTGAACTCAAGTGGTGTTTCATTATTGGACTTCTGTGCAAGCCGCAGTTTGGCCATAACGAACACCACGTTCGAACATAAGGATGCCCATCGGTACACTTTGTACCAGGGCAGCCTAGGTCGCAGGTCGATGATAGACTTTGTAGTCGTATCATCTGACCTGCGGCCGTATGTTTTGGACACCCGAGTGAAGAGAAGAGCGGAGCTGTCAACTGATCACCACCTGGTGGTGAGTTGGATCAGATGGCAGGGGAAGATGCCGCTTAGACCTGGCAGACCCAAACACATAGTGAGGGTTTGCTGGGAACGCCTGGCAGAAGAACCTGTTAAGAAGGTCTTCAACTCCCACCTCCGGCAGAGCTTTGACCGCGTCCCGAGAGCAGTGGGGGACATTGACTCCGAGTGGGCCTTGTTCCACTCTGCGATTGTTGAGGCGGCTGTTGCTAGCTGTGGTCGCAAGGTGGCCGGTGCCAGTCGTGGTGGCAACCCCCGTACCCGCTGGTGGACACCAGAGGTTCGGGGAGCCGTCAGGCTGAAGAAGGAGGCCTACAGGGCGTGGCTGGTCTGTGGGTCTCCAGAGGCAGCAGACAGGTACCAGATAGCCAAGCGGGGTGCAGCAGTGGCAGTTGCCGAGGCAAAATCTCGAGCATGGAAGGAGTTTGGTGAGGCCATGGAGAAAGATATTCGATCAGCTCCAAAGAGGTTCTGGCAAACTCTCCGGCGCCTCAGGAGAGGAAGGCAGCAACTCGCTCACACTGTTTACAGTGCGGATGGGGAGCTGCTGACATCAACTGGGGCTATAGCCGGACGGTGGAAGGAATAAAAGTATTCCTTCCACCGTCGAGGAGCTCCTCAATCCCACCTATGCACATTCCAAGGAGGAACCAGAGCCGGGAGACCTGGGGATGGACTGTCCAATCTCGGGGGCAGAAGTTGCTGAGGTAGTCAAACAACTACACGGCGGCGGAGCCCCGGGGGTGGATGAGGTTCGTCCTGGGTATCTCAAGGCTATGGATGTTGTAGGGCTGTCGTGGTTGACACGTCTCTGCAAAATTGCGTGGTCATCGGGGGCAGTTCCTGTGGAGTGGCAGACCGGGGTGGTGGTCCCCATCTTTAAGAAGGGTGACCTGAGGGTGTGTTCCAACTATAGGGGGATCACACTCCTCAGCCTCCCTGGAAAGGTCTACTCCAAGGTACTGGAGAGGAGGGTCCGATCGATAGTTGAATCTCAGATTGAGAATGAGCAATGTGGTTTTCGTCCTGGCCGTGGAACTGTGGACCAGCTCTATACCCTTGCAAGGGTGATGGAGGGGGCATGGGAGTTAGCCCAACCAATCCACATGTGTTTTGTGGATTTGGAGAAGGCTTATGACCGTGTCCCCAGGGACACCCTGTGGGGGATGCTCCAGGAGTATGGGGTGGGTGGCTTTCTGTTAAGGGCCATTCAGTCCCTTTACCAGAGGAGCGTGAGTTTGGTCCGCATAGCCGGTAGTAAGTTGGACCTGTTCCCAGTGAGGGTTGGATTCCGCCAGGGCTGCCCTTTGTCACCGGTTCTGTTCATTACCTTTATGGACAGAATTTCTAGGTGCAGCCGTGGTGTGGAGTGTGCCAAGTTTGGTGGCAGGAGAATCTCGTCTCTGCTTTTTACGGATGATGTGGTCCTCCTAGCTTCATCCAGCTCTGACCTACAGCTCTTGCTGGGTAGGTTCGCGGCCGAGTGTGAAGCGGCTGCGATGAGGATCAGCACCTCCAAATCTGAGACCATGGTTCTCGACCTGAAAAGTGTGGCTTGCCAACTCCGGGTCGGGGGAGAGGTCCTACCTCAAGTGTTTAAGTTTAAGTCAAGTTCAAGTATCTTGGGGTCTTGTTCACGAGCGAGGGTAGGAGGGACCGGGAGATCGACAGGCGGATTGGTTCGGCATCTGCAGTGATGTGGACGCTGAGCCAATCTATTGTGGTGAAGAGGGAGCTGAGCCAGAAAGCCAGGCTCTCGATTTACCGGTCGATCTACGTCCCAATCCTCACCTATGGTCATGAGCTTTGGGTAATGACCAAAAGAAAGAGATTGCGAATACAAGCGGCCGAAATGAGTTTCCTCCGTAGGGTGGCCGGGCTCAGCCTTAGAGATAGGGTGAGGAGCTTGGACATTCGGGAGGGACTCGGAGTAGAACCGCTGCTCCTCCAGATCGAAAGGAGCCAGTTGAGGTGGTTTGGGCATCTGGTCAGGATGCCTCCTGGACGCCTCCCTGGGGAGGTATTTCGGGCATGTCCTGCCGGCAGGAGGCCCCCCGGTCGACCCAGGACAAGTTGGAGAGGTTACATCTCCAATCTGGTCCGGGAATGCCTTGGGGTCCTGCCGGAGGAGCTGGTGGAGGTGGCCGGGGAGAGGACGGTCTGGAGCTCCCTAGTTGAGATGCTGCCCCCGCGACCCGGACCTGGATAAGCGGAGGAAGATGACAACAATGATGACATATAAAATGCTAGCTAAAGATTATTGGTATTAATAATTTTGTCACATTTTGCTTTGTGAGTTGGCACCTTCTCTTCCTTACAAAAGGCATGTATGCTGAGGTGCTCCAGCATCATTTTTACATTCTTTTTACAATCAACCTTCATGAAAAAAAAATTTTTTGGTTTACAACGGCCCTTGCTCTGACATCTGGGCTCCCGTGGCAGCTCTTCTCTGCTTTTTAGCAATACGATATAAATATTTTCTCCGTGGGATGGATCAATTAAAAATAAGAATTTGGAAACTAGTTCTTACGGTCTTCCTAAATGTGAACCCTAGATTTGAACCCTTGATGAATAACATTTTAAATAACAACAACTTCAACATTACCCAAGATAACTGTGATATATCTGAGCAACTGGAAGTGTACTGGACTGACGTTTATAACTACAGACTCGTTCCAGTAGTTCCAAAGGTCTCCACGTGAATCTAAGAACTGTATCTGATGCAAACACAAACAGCTTTAAAATCAGATCTAACTAAAATGATACAATTCCAGAACTGACCTACATTTGAAGCAGATCAGAAGGAAACGAAGCTACAGTTGATACCACACACCACCCATAATTAGCAAGAAGCCACATTAAAAGTATAGAAGGTTCTGATCGCCTGTCTGTCTGACTGTCCATCTGTCTGTCTCACTGATATGGCCAAAAGCAATATTTGGCATCTGTATAAGTCTCACAGAGGGCCGTGTGTGTGTGTGTGTGTGTGTGTGTGTGTGTGTGTGTGTGTGTGTGTGTGTGTGCGCGTGTGTGTGTGTGTGTGTGTGTGTGTGTGTGTGTGTGTGTGTGTGTGTGTGTGTGTGGTTGACAGCTCCCTAGCCGTCTGATCACAGTGAAACCATAATGAGTCGTAGGCGATGTGTCACTGCATCGCAGACACACTCGCAATGTCACCCCACCACCCATCACACACACACATACACACACACACACCAGATACATTCAGACACCTCTGTCGTTACTTGCAGCTCTTGACATCTCCCAGCTCACACCCCGTCTAACACTCCCCCGCAGGACACAAGCATGAACAGTTCGAATACACCGTACACGTGTGCAAGCACACACCCACTCGTTGCTAGTACACACACACACACACACACACACACACACACACACACACACACACACACACACACAGAGAGAGAGAGAGAGAAGTGCATCAACAATTACAATTGCTTGTGGGAGATGAAAATGTACCATCAGCGTGGTTTAGCCGCATGTGTGTTTGTGTGTGTGTGTGTGTGTGTGTGTGTGTGTGTGTGTGTGTGTCCTTTTTTATTGATGCCAGTTACAGCTGGCTTGCTCCTCCGTTCACGCTGGATGCAATCAAACAAAGATGATCAAAGCAACACAACAGTAAACACTGGCGTCCACACAGAAGGAGCCTGTGCTCAACACAACAAAACTTGCTGTCATTAATTAAAATGTATTTTATAAACTAGCTGCACCCATTCACCAATCACTTGACCATCACTCCTCCTCACGTTCACCTCATTTTTCATCCAATTAGCCACAAATCCTGAATACTCATGCTCAGACCGTATAATGTTTCTACTCAACCCTGGCAGCCTCGTAAGATCTGCCTGCAGAGCATTCTTTATCTGAACTGTTGGTGAAACTCAACAAAGAGGCAGTGACTTTAAATGTAAACAAGCTGAAAAAAAATGTGTAAGTAATGTAAACTCTACATGATGCTACAGGAATAAGTCACGTAAAACGTTCATCTTTTAACTCTTTTGCTGGGTTTGTATTTTCCATTGCATCACCTTTTCTTTGACTTTAGACCAGCTGCCGTAGCTCTGGAAGCTAAATGTTTTCTCATCCGCACAGGGATTTATTTGATCATCAGATCAGGGTCTTCTTTGGAGAAATTCTCCTTTCATAAGAAGGAAAACCTTCTCTGTAGAAGACAGATCTGGACTGCAGGGATGTCATCATCTGGCTGTGTCTGAATGGAACACGCTGCTGCAAAGGTTTCTGCAGCACACATTTGTTCAGTAGAAAAACACATTTTTAGATGTGCAAATGTCTAGTCTGGGATGCGTTTGCACAACTTAGCTATGGTATGGATGTTGGGTTTAGACCTGGAGGAGCATTTAAGACCTGGAATGTCAAATTATCTTTCATCGGATCAAGACCGCACAACATCCATCTCACTTTCATTGAGACGTGACAATAAAAAGATGAGAGGATTCATCATATTCATACTGCTTCAGCGTTGTTTCTTTTGCATGCTTGTTCTTTGCAGAAGCAACATGACTTTGACTCCATGCAGTCATGCTTCATAGAGGATTCTACCTGTTTTTAATGCAAAACTCTACAGATCGTAGAGCTGAGGAAAATAATCAAATAATCGATGCATCGGGATGCGGACATAAACGATTCTGCATCGTAGAAGAGTACACCATCATCGATTATAGTGGAATGTAGTTTTGTTTTTTTAACGGCGGCACCAGCGCAGCATCCAAACCTGTCAGAGTGAGTGTCCTCCACATTTACAGAGTATTGTTCCGCCTTTATGTGGTACTGCAGGGCTGAGTGCTGGAGTTGTAACCTGAGACCGAACCGGAACCGAATCAGTCCGACCGGTTCTGTTGGATTTGGGCAGTGAATTATGTTAATTGAGCGGGTTGTCGCGCAGCGCGCTCTGCTTGCTCGATGTGCGTGTGTGTGTGTGAGAGGGGGGTGGGTCGAATCGGAGGACGCTCCTCCAAACACGCATTATTATTTTCATAACTTCATTATTATTTCTCCTGGAAGCGCTCAGTCAGACCGAGTGTTGTGATGCTGGGAGATCCGGTCTTGGGGAGGGGGCGGGGTCAGTGACGGCGGCTGCAACGTGATCGTCTGTCTCTTTTATTTAGGGACACGGAGAAGTTAAAAGGAGAGAGATATAGAAGATAGAAGTTCTTGTTTCACTATATTCTTTTGTTTCATGATGATAAACTGATGTTAAATTCAGTTTAAAGAGAAACTGGGAGGAAGCTTTGGTCCATTTTAAGTTACAGGAGACTTGTCTCCTATCTGCTCCTCCAGAGACAGCATGGACATGAGGGTTAAAGGGTGAGGGTCCCACTGGACAGGTTAGTGGAAAGGTTTGTAGTTAGCTGGTTAGTGAAGGAGATCCATCAGCTGGGTAACTTAATCCTAATCCAGCCCACAGCCTTCTGCTGGTGTTATTATCAGAAAGAATAAAACACACATCTTAAATATTATTGGAAGTGTAGAATTTGTTTTGTGTTTTATTATTTTCGGCATCAAACAGAACTTGATTCATTCTCCAACATTTCAGAAACGAACCACTGGGTTCAAATAAAATAAACAAACTAAGTCAAACATTTCATTTGGTGTTATTTCTGACACCCTTCAACTGTGGCATAAACATCTGACTCTAGAGCTGCTCAGAGACATTAAACACTCATATATGAACCCATTATGGATTTTATTATTACATTATGTGTCCTGTAGGTTTTCAGTATTTTTTCAGATTTTGTGAGTTTTTGCAAAGCGTGTTTTTCTCAGCCTGAGGTGTGTGGTGTTGAACGAGGAAACAGATGTTTTTACTTTGTTAAATCTTCTTAAAAGTTTAAAATGTTTTGTCCTAACCTGTTGTGAATGGAGAGCTTTTGATGGATTGCAAGTTGTGTCAATTATGTTTTTGATAAAAAATAAATAAATAAAAAGCAATCATCTAACATCTTCTATTTATCAATGAAAACAAATTAATATGAAATAATCGTGATGCATCGGGATATCGAATCGAATTGAATCGTTGACCCAATAATCGTAATCGAATAGGGAGACAAGTGAAGATTCACACCTCTAACAGATCGTGATCATTTTTTAGCCTCTTTGTTCAGACTTCCTCAGATTTCCAGGTTTTTGCTTGTTTCAATGGTGTCTAATGCAAATGATGACATTTTCAAGATGTAAAACATTTCTTGCCATAAAATGTTGAACCCAATGAAAGAACCTTCCCTTTAATCCCTACTACGACTTTTTCCTTAAGCCATAATAGTCTTATTGTCGATACAAAACATGTTTGTGAAGTTCTTTACACTAAATCCCTCTTACATAGAAGTTTTTTCCTTGACACTTTCATTACCTTCCGGAATTAGCCATTTCAGGGTTTTAAGGACAAGATGCTGCTGACCACACCCATCCACTCCCTAACTGGCTGTTATAAGTGGAGAAGCTCAGATATCGGGGAGGGGCTCTTCCAACAGCAGCACTATCTTGCACTTGAGAGGTGGTGCTAATTTCCCCATTTGTGACATCACAAACGGGGACTTTTTGAAACAACTTGTTTCAGGCGCAACATTTTTTCCACACTTGAGAGTGTTTATAGAGGCAGCAGAGACCCACGCGGCAGCACAAACAGATGCAAAAGATGAGTTTTGCATGACATGTCCTCATTAAAGGAGACATAACTCATTCTTGTTCCTCACTAGCTGGATTCACACCAGGTGTGTTTTCGCGTTACACAATCTTTGTCGTGTTACTGTGCTGTAAAATGACTGAAAAACTATTTTGAGTCCTTCCAAATAACTGAACACTAAACATTCTCAAGGGATTTCTTAACCATTTTAAGTGTTTTCTGCAAAACATTTTTACAATCCCACGTGATTGGCCACTGATAATGTACGTGGGACAGATGAACTTGATGAGTTACCTCTCCGTTTTCCAGCGGGTGAATCTTAGAGTAAAAAGACGTGCAGATGACTTCATCATCTCTGGTGTAGGATGGCGGTCCGGTCCGCGGGTTGATGTTGAACCTTGTCAGGCACTCGGTGTCTGTGATGGCGTAGTACTGCCATGGGTCAAAAGTCACGCCGTCTATTGAACGCTCCAAGATCCAATTACCTGTGGACAAAACCATGCGTCAAATTTGTGACACAACTTGACAAAAGATCAATAGAAATAATAATAGATGACCTAAACCGCTGTTTGAGTCACTGTTTAATACACAGAAAATGACTGAATATTTAATTTAATATATTTTAGATGCATACACCAAACAAGTTCCAAAACTTTTCTATTACACATAAAAAACAGGAAGAGCGATTCAGTCAAAGTTCAAATGTTGGAATAATTATGTAAAAGAGGCCCAACTGCATTAAATTAAGTAATCATCACAACATCAATATGCATCAAATCATGGCAACCACATTCGAAGTGGCACGAAAGAAGAAGAAGAAAAGATCTTTTCTATAGCGCCTCTCAAGATAAAAGTCACGAGACGCTTCACAAAAACAAAAAAATGTTAAAATATAAAAAAGAATTTAGAAAATGATTAAAAACATATTTTAAATGAGCAAAAAATAGACAACTGTGATTAAAAATGTAAAGAAAGAGAAAGAGTGAATAGGAAAGAGGGAAATCAGTGGATCCTAAGGAAGGTGGAATAGGTAGGGAGAGCAGAACAAGGAGAGGGTGATGAAGGTCACACCAAAACCAGCTTGAACAGGTGAGTTTTCAGCTGCTTTTTAAAGGAGACCACTGAGTCCACTGATCTCAGGCTCAGGGGGAGAGAGTTCAGAGTCTGGGGGCCACAGCAGCAGATGATCTGTCACCTTTGACCTTTAGCCTGGTGCTGCACAACCAGTAGGCTTTGGTCACTGGACCTCAGGGGACCTGCTGGGGGTGTAGGGACTGAGAAGATCACCAAGGTATGGTGGTGCTTGTCCATGTAAGGCCCTATAGACCAGAACCAGGATCTTGAAATGAACCCTGAAGCTGACTGGCAGCCAGTGAAGCTGGGGGAGAAGCGGGGTGATGGATTTATGATCCACCAACAGATGAACCCTCAGCATTTGTGCCACGCCCAGTTTAGACCCTAGTGCTGTGATTGTTGTGACCCGAAAAAATGAGAGATACAAGACAAATGTGGATTTATGGCAACAGACAAGATGATAAAAAAATCCCCTGCAGAAGCATATTACTGCTGATCAGCCCTGTCCAATGGGAAGATGGTTTGCTTTAACAGTGTAATCAGCTAATTTACTCAATGTACTTTAACCATCAAGTGGTCGTTTTGAACACATAAAAATGCCACATATGAATAAAATCCATACCTGGACGTGGTGAGTTGGCAGCCTTTATTATCACGTAGGCAATCTGGAAGACCTGGAAAATGCAGACAAAAGATTAGAAGACATTCGTACTAAAATGTTTATGACATCTTCTGCAGCAACTTCACAGATAAAAGTTTGTTTTTCTCCAACAATTCAGAAAAGGGTAGAATGCCTTCTCCGGGTCAGGGATGAGGTCCTGCTCCAAGTGGAGGAGTTTAAGTATCTCTGGGTCATGTACACGAGTGAGGGAAAGATGGAGCGTGAGATCGACAGGCGGACTGGTGCTGCATCTGCAGTGATGTGGGCGTTGCACTGGTCTGCCGTGGTGAAGAGAGAGCTGAGTCAGAAAGTGAAGCTCTCGTTTTATCGGTCGATCTACATTCCTACCCTCACCTATGGTCATGAGCTTTGGGTCGTGACCAAAAGAACAAGACTGCGGATACAAGCGGCCGAAATGAGTATTCTCCGCAGAGTTGCTGGGCTCTTCCTTAGAGATAGGGTGAGAAGCTCTGTCATCCAGGAGGGGCTCGGAGTAGATTCGCTGCTCCTCCACATCGAGAGGAGCCAGATGAGGTGGCTCGGGCATCTGGTCAGGATACCTCCCTGGTGAGGTTTTCCGGGCACATCCAACCGAGGGGGGGGGGGGGGGGGGCGCAATGGGATTCCCCCGGAGGAGCTGGCCCAAGTGGCTGGGGAGAGGGAAGTCTGGGCCTCTCAACTTAGGCTACAACCCCCGCTACTCAACTCCGGATAAGAGGATGAAAATGGATGGATGGATGTCTCCAAAAGTCCAATTCATGACTAGAGAGCGAGGGCTTGCTTTTGTGACTTTTCCATCTCTCATTTCTACACGAATGCAAATGTCCTAACTTATGATCTATCGTTTTTTTGTAAATCCAAAGGGGTTCGAATGAAGGCAACTGGACTTCTTTGGTGTCTTTAAGATGTTTCACTTCTCATCCGAGGAGCTTTGTCAACTCTGACTGGAGTATGGGAGAGTCACGCTGCTTTTGTGATAAAGTTTTCAGACTAAAAACCAACATACAAATGGTAAAGTATCCATTTAATAATTAATCAAATCACACAATAATAAGGCTCTGTTGCAGATGTTTTAAAGACATGGCCAGACTCACAAATTTCATTTAATGAGCAGAGATTCTTTCAGAATAAAGTCATCGGACATACGTCAGCAACTCCCTTTTGAAGTCTAACCAGTTCAAGATGTCCGCCAATGCTGATGAATATAATGAAACACAAACATAGCTATAGCTAAGTGTGGTTCATAGCTAAGTGAATAAGATGGTAGCTAAGAATCGCTAGCCTAGTGAAATAGACCAAACTCTAAGAACGCTCCGTTGGCACGTCCACAGCCCCTAGCAGCATTCTGGAGGGCCAATCACAGCGCTCTATTGGATTTGTGGGCCAGTCAGGGCCCTCTATTCGTCTAGTGGGCGGTATAATGTGACGGAGAGGAACAAGATGGATACAGGTCGTTTGGGACCGCTTTTACATCAGATTTGGATGATTTAGATGTGGGTTGTATTTCAATCAGGAGAAGAGAAATGTATTTAAGTCCTTTATTTAGAAAAAGGACGTATTTTCGCCTTCTTCAACAGCGGAATGCCTCTCTGACCGACATCCGTTGCGGAAAGTGCGTCACGCTGTTCATTGTCCAGTAGCATGCGGAGATCGTTTGAAAGACAATAGTAGAACCTGCCCCATGGCCGAGGGCCGTCAGTGGAGCGTTGCCAGCTTGCCAGGCTAGAGAGCGGCTGCATGAGTTAGAACATTCTCAACTTAAGATGCTTTTGGTTCACAACTAACAAAAGGCTTTGTTATTGGTTTTGGGCATTTTACTTTTCTGTTTCTGGTGCTGTGAAGCCTGGAGGATTTTTACTGCTATTTTTTCACTTTTTTCATTATTTGAGCATTTGTTATGATGTGTAACCATGGCAACAAGCTGGATTACAATCGGGAGCAGCTGATTAACATTTGAAAGGCTGAAGTAATACCTCAACTGAAGCCACAAATCCCAAATGAGTTAAAACACAAGAAGCGTGGGCGCAGAGCGGGAGCAAAACGGAGACAGAGAAAGAGGAAATTCAAACTATCTCTTCCATTGATCATAATGGGCAATGTGAGAAAACTGGCCAACAAGATGGAGGAACTCCAAGCCCTTTCAGGGACTCAGCCAGAGTTTTGGCAGTGCAGTGTTATGTGCTTCACTGAGACGTGGCTGCAGGACCATATCCCCGATTCCAGCGTCTCTCTGCCAGGATTTCTAACTGTACAAGCAGACAGAGATCTGAAGAGGTGCGGGAAAAGAAAAGGACGTGAGGCTTGTCAACAACAGATGGTGCCATCCAGGTCATGTTTCAGTGAAATGTCGTCTCTGCAGCCCAGATGTTGAACTCTTGGCAGTAAGTTGTCGCCCATATTATTTGCCAAGAGAGTTCATCAGTGTTGTCTTGGCAACCATTTATATTCCACCTTCAGCCATTGCTGAAAATGCATGTGATGCCATCAGTTCGGTTGTCGCTAAGCTACAAACCCAGCACCCCAATGCATTTATGGCTATATCTGGTGATTTTAATCATGCCTTGCTCTCTGCTACACTCCCAACATTTCAACAGTTTGTCAGCTGCTCCACCAGAGAACAACACATTGGATTTGTGCTATGCTAATGTAAATAATGCATACAGGTCCAAAACAAGACCTCCTCTGGGACAATCAGATCACAATCTTGTTTGTCTCTGCTCAGAATACAAACTACTTGTTCAGAGGCAACCTGTGAAAAGAAGAACTGTGATAAAATGGTCACAGGATGCTGAAGAAGCCATGCAGGGTTGTTTAGAGACCACACATTGGATGACTCTTTGCCAAGGATATGAAGAGGACATAAATGCCATGACTGGATGTGTCACTGACTATATGAACGTCTGTGTGGACAACATCATACCCACCAGAACAGTGAGATGCTTCACTAATAACAAACCCTGGATCACCAGTGAACTAAAGAATCTGCTAAATGAGAAAAAAAGCCTTCAAGGAGGGAGACAGGGAATTATTGAGGAGTATACAGAAGCAACTGAAGATCAAGATCAGAGACAGTAAGGAGGTATACAGGAAGAAGCTGGAGAACAAACTACAGAGGAACTATATCAGAGAAGTCTGGTCAGGGATGAAGAAGATCACAGGCTTCAGGCAGATGAAGGATTGCACAGACGGCAGCCTGGACACAGCCAATGAACTGAACAAGTTCTTCAATAGGTTCAGTTCAGGAACAAACCCAGCATCCTCCTCGCCTCTCCCCAGCCAATTAGACATCCCATCCTCCGCTGATCCTACATTTTCCTGTCACACGCCAGCTCTTTTGTCCTCTAACGCAGTCATGGACTCTTCTGGTTCTATAAATCTGTCTTCAACCAAGTCAGGAGATGCTGCTGCCCCATTTACCTCCCCCTCCCACCTATCTGTCTCTAGAAGTCAGGTGAAGAGGCAGCTGGAGAGACTGAACAGCAACAAGGCTGCAGGTCCAGATGGTGTCAACCCCAGGGTACTGAAGGCCTGTGCAGAGCAGCTCTGTGGGATTCTGCAGCACCTCTTCAACCTCAGTCTGGCCCAGGAGAAGGTTCCAGTCCTATGGAAGACATCCTGCCTTGTTCCAGTTCCAAAGAAAATTCACCCATCAGTCAATGACGACTACAGACCGGTTGCCCTGACATCCCACATCATGAAGATCCTGGAGAGACTCCTGTTGGTCCCCCTGAATAAACAAACTAGGACATATCAGGACCCGCTGCAGTTTGCTTATCGCCATGGAGTTGGAGTTGAAGATGCCATCATCCAGCTGTTTCAACCAATCCACTGTCATCTGGACAAAGCAGGCAGCGAGGGTCATGTTCTTTGATTTCTCCAGTGCATTTAACACAATCCAGCCTGATGTACTTTGCCAGAAACTCCAGAAGACACAGGTGGGGGCCTCAACTATCGCCTGGATTAAAGACTACCTGACAAACAGACCACAGTTTGTGAGGCTGAAGAAATGCACATCAAACCAGGCGATCAGTAACATAGGAGCACCACAGGGGACTGTACTCTCACCATTCCTTTTCACCCTGTACACCTCAGACTTCCAGTACAAATCAGAGACCTGTCATCTACAGAAATACTCAGATGACTCTGCAGTTGTCGGGTGTATCAGAGATGGACAGGAAGCTGAGTACAGAGTTGGTGGAGCGCTTTGTGGCATGGTGTGGAAACAATCATCTGACCTTGAACGTTAACAATACAAAGGAGATGATTTTAGACTTCAGAAGAAACAGAGTGGAGTTAAACACTGTTTCCATCCTGGGAGAAGAAGTGGAGGTGGTTGAGGAATACAAATACCTTGGAGTTTACCTGGACAACAGACTGGACTGGAGAAAGAACAGCGAAGCCGTTTACAAGAAGGGAAACAGCAGACTGCACTCCTTGAGGATGCTTAGGTCCTTCAATGTCTGTAGCAAGATGCTGCAGATCTTCTACAAGTCTGTTGTTGAGAGTGTAATCTTTTCAGCCATCTTCTGTTGGGGTAGCAGCATCAGAAGCAGGGACCTAAAAAGGCTCAACAGCCTAATAAAAAAGGCTGGTTCTGTTCTGGGGACGACTGTGGAACCACTGGAGGAGATAATGCAAAGAAGGATTCTCCAGAGAATCAAGAAAATTATGGACAACCCTGAGCATTCTCTTCACAAGGCTGTCCAACAACGGAAGAGTGTCTTCAGTCAGAGGCTTCTTCATTTTCGCTGCAACACTGACACTACTGGAGATCCTTCCTGCCAACAGCCATTGTAATATACAATAACGCTTTGATGACTTGATTATTATTATTATTCTGAGCTACAACAACAATCAATTTCACTCTGGGATTAATAAAGTATTTTTGAATTGAATTGAAGTGAATTGAATAAAATGGAAAGATGCTTAATGCACGTGTATAAGAGGACCATCATCAGAAAACACTGAACTGGACATTTTCATTAATTAGATTTAGGTCAAACATGGACTCAC